CTGTGGCTGTCACTGTGCAGCAGTGTATGACACCCGTGAGGGACACCTGGGGACAGTGACAGGACCAGCTCCAGCCTCACTGCTCCACCCCACAGCACAGCTACAGCTGAGGGAACGGGGATCATCCCAAACAAAACAGGGATGAGGAAAAGCGCTGAGTCTCGGGCTGGGAGCAGGGAAGCGTGCCCAGCAGACAGCCCCTCCTGCCACTGCCCAGGGCACCTGAAATCAGGGATCCCGAGAGGAAAACTGCCCTTTCATACAGAACCACCTGCCCCACACTGCCCACAGAACAATTCCCAACCCAGAGACAGAACAGTCACTCACTTCTCCACCAGGGTCTGCACACAGCCCTTCCACGAAGCCATCTGCAGGGCAAGGTCAGCTATTGCCAAAGCCAGCTGGAAGGGAATGGGAACACACGGATCAGTGTGAGAGTGCTGGGGTGTGCCCAGGAGAAAGGATGGACAGGAAACTCTGGAATCCACTCCAACACCCAGCAGGGAACTCCAGAATCATTCCCAACATCCCCTGCAGGGAGGGAACTCAGTGATCCATCGAGGTGTGTGCACAATCCCTGTGCTGAACTGTGGCTGCCCTGAGGGTGGACATTCCCTGCCAGGATGTTCAGGGGCTGGAGGGACACCCTGGGGGTGTCAGACCTGCTGCTGCCACAGGAGCCTGTGGATAATGGAAATGGATATGGATAATGGAAATGGATATGCATAATGGAAATGGATATGGATAATGGAAATGGATATGGATAATGGAAATGGATATGGATAATGGAAATGGATATGGAAAATGGAAATGAAGGAAGTGAAGGGTCCAGAAAAATCCACCTGGATACCCAGGGCACTGCTGGGTTTGGTGTCCATGGCAGAGAGCTGCTCCTCCCTGCTCCTCCTCTCCAAACACCAAATGAAGATGAAGAAATGGATGCAACTAAAGGAATCAAGTGAYGAAGGAGGGAATACAATCTTGTGCCAGGGACACAGGGAGCAGGGATGAGCATTCCCTGTTCTCCAGCTCAGGGAGAATGGTCCCAGAGTGGAGTGACTGCCAGGGCAGGACATGGAGGAAACAGCTCCATCCCTCCCCTGCCAGCACCCACCTGTGTGACAATGACCGGGGACAGGTCCTTCAAGTTCTGGATGTGGGACAGCAGAGAGTCCCGGAGTGAGGCGTGGGAATCCGTGGGGAGTTCATAGAAYGAAGTTTGGATCTTCATCTTCATGGTCTGTGCTGCAAAGTAGCAGGTCTCCACATCCTGGTGGATCTGCAGCAGCTGGTCCGAGATCTCCCAGGCGTGGACCTGGGGAAAAAACACAGCGTGGTCAGTGGGCAGGGCACTGAGGGGACAGGGACTGCAGACAGAGCCCAAATTCCCCAATGGAAACACAG